GGATATTGAATCCCCAAAGGTAAAGTGTCTTACAAAGAGCATCCTGTTGAAGAATAGCTTGAGGCCACAGCAGCCATATGTCTGGAGCAGAGAATGATTCTGAGCTCCACTCAGTTTAGTGACATTGGTGCATTATTGCATTCATTCTTCAGATCGTCTGCTAATGAATAAAAGTGTTACATGACTAACAGTGTCTTTATGTTTTCCTCTTAATTATACCGCCTCTTTTTAATTAGATGAACAGTGCCAAATCCTGCACGGAGAGGCTTGGAATTTCATTTTTAATTAGCTTCTGGCATTAAAGTCACTAAGTAAGGTTTTTTATTTATTTAGAATGCATTTGGGAAGACAAAATTCAGTGTCCTTTATGCTAATATTTTACTTTTTTCTAATAGTGCTTGAAACGACAAGACTCCTCTGGTGGTACTTTTAATTAGCAATAAATGCAATTTTTTTAAGCATATGTTATTTAGGATATGTAGATATTTTGTTTGCAATAAGACGGGTGTAAAACTGGAAAGGAGCTGTTTAACAAAAAGGCTGTGTATTATGTGAAGATGTAGTCTTTTTCAGCAGTATGCTACTTCATGTTAACACCACTTTTAGAAAACTAATTTTTAATGGTAAAAAAGACAGCTGCTAAACTGCTGAACCAGTTGAAAATGTATGGAGCCTAAATATGGATTGTGCAGGTCACAGTCTAGGTGTCACAGATAACCTGCTGTATGTGTACCTGAGAACATGCTAACTCAGTCTAAACTTTGGTGTGTTGTAGTTTCCTTCTCAACTGGTAAAGTTATTACTGAGAATGGAAAATTACTCTCTTACCTTTGCCTTTTGTCTCTAAGTGACAGAACCTGGGGCAAACAATACATTTTTTATCTCTGTGTGAAGTTCTATAATTTGTAAATGAAATAAACTCTTACATCTGTGATGTACTGTACTTAACATTTCATTGACCCACTTTTCTTATTTGTAATTTCTCAAGCTTGTTGATATTAAGGTGCCTTACTGCCAAAGATGTGACCTTCATTTGCACATAGTTTTTAATCAGTACAAATACCTAGCATTTATGATGGTTTACAAATATGACATTTATCATCCATTTTCTAAACATTTGCCTGAAATACATAAGTCAAGAGATCAGTATGGTACATTATGGAACTCCGAGGAAAACTTAAATTAAATTAAATTTAAGCATAGGATTCCATAATTCTGACAAAATTCAAGGATTTCTCTGTGCCTAACATACAATATGCTGAAATACAGAAGTGATAGAAGAAACTTTGAAGAAACTCTTCTTTTAAAAAAGCAAGTTGATTATAGTGGTTTGTGATCAAGACTGCATACTGTATGTCAATATTAATCTAGATAACAATGATATGACAAAGGTTATTGAAATCCTAAATGTCAGTGGCATGTTGTTCAACTTAGTGTCAAACAAAGCATTATACATTTACACAGATTAATTGGCTCCTAGGAAAAGAGCCCCCAGTGTGTCTGTGTATCTGCCCAAAAATGGACCTGTCTCCCATTCAGTATGTATCCTGTCTTGTGCCGGTTGGTTCATAGGTTCTGGCTCTAAATTAAATTGGACAAAGCGGCTAGAAAATAGAAGAACGGCTGGATTAATATTAACTAGTTACAAATGTAATTCAAACTCTTGAAGTGTCCACTATTGGTATTCCAACAAATTTCAAAGAAGAAATATGAGCATGTACTGTATAGTCACTAATCAAAAGTAATGCCTGGCATTAATACAGCTGCACTGCTGTAATCATTTGATGTTTTTATAACCCTATTTAAAGCCCATATACTGTACTAGCAAACTTGTATATTCACATTGTTTTGGGATTTAATTTGATTCCCTGCACACTGGATTGAAAAATAATTTGCTTCCCAAATTGAATTAAAGAAGTACTTGTTCAAAATTATTGTAATGGGTTACTTTCATTCAACTTTTTTGATTGTGTAATAGTTATTGATACTCAGTTAAACCCATACAGAACTTTTCAATGGCAGCAATTAATAATAGTAGGGCAGGTTTAAACATTTCAGATCTTATTGTCCATCTAAATACAGTGTTGTTGCATTGTTTTAAGCTATTATTGGTTAAGATACCCTTAGCATTGTGAAATGGCAAGTTAATTAAAATAAAGAAATTATTTTTTCTGTAATGTGTGCTCTTAGGACACTCTGCTAACCTGACAGGCATTCTGTATGGGTTCTCAACGTGGACTACCTTACTTGAACAATTTATGGTGCTTAGTATATTTTCTTAAAGATGTTATCTGGGCCTTTTGAACAAATTTGATTAATTTAAAATGTTATTTCTAATTTAAAAATCAAAGTTAATCATGGTATGCCAAATACATTAGTATAGAATCACTAGATTCATTTTTGTATTATCTTACTAAATGACTTCCACTTCTGTGCCAGTGCTTTTCTATTTTTGATTTGTTGTGCACTTAAATTTAACTTTAAGTCTAAGAAAATGCCAGATTAAAAAAAAATAGCTAAACTATTGATGGCTTTAATATGTTGTACATATTTATTTTCTGTTAGAAATAATCTAAATATGTTTTAGATTATTTTTGATCATTTTTGGTCACAAAATGGCTGGAATTATCAGGTAATATTAGTGATGCATTTTTTTAGTTTGTTGCACTTTTCTGACGGGGAAGAAATCACGGGGGCTGAATTTTAGCCCTACGAAAACACGTCTACAAAACACATCACACTGCTGGCTTCCTTTTACTTAGATTTGGGTAAGATAGGCTTGCCTATAGATAGAATGTAACAGCTTAATCGGGTTTTTGGCTTTCTTTGACCCTGCATGTTTTTTTATCTGTTTTATAGTAGAAGCCAATTAGATTAAATTAAATCAAAACAATTAAACTACTTGAGAAATGAGAGCAAAATGAGAGTTTGGTCTGTGGATTTTGGTTACCTCTGGTTTAGATATTTGCCAGTCAAAAACAGATGTTTGTTTTTTCTATGGAACACTTTGGCTTTAATAAGGTGCCTGTTTTTTTAGTGTGCTTGTTTAAAGAGAGACAGAAATGGCTGTACACGCCAAAATTGAACACTTATTATTTTTAAGATAACAAATTTGGCATGGATAGACATTGTTTTGCTAAAGCAGAGCTTGTGAAATCCTCGGTAGCTTGCTCTGATTCAGTGAAAGAAAGCCAAGGTTCTGAAGGCCAGACTTGAGCCCTGCTGGAGAGAATATAAGGAAAGACAATCCCCAGAACAAAGATACTTGTTGACCTGTGGGAGCACCATAAAAGTAAAATCAGGTGTCTTCTTGCAGCAGGACGCATCTGGAACTACTAAGAGTTGAGCTTTGCTGGACAGGGTCAAGCAGCAGGACATCACTACTCTGTCCGCACCCGTGATCCCTGTGAGATGACAATATTTTTATTCTGGGGTATCTGCTTGCTTTCTTCCCATAACAATATTGTCTTAAAAAGACCTTATTCATACAAACCAACTTGAAAAGTGCAAGAACACTTCAATGAAACTATTGTATGAAACCCTTTGCATTAAAGAGGTGGACTGAGTTAAGGGAGGTGAGCCTTGGAATAAGGTCAGAAATATTTTTTTAATCAAAGTGCTCTAGGGAATTTTCCTCCATTCTTTATCCTTCTTTTCAGGAAGAGGTGCTCTGTTGTCACTGCATAGAAGTTTGAATAATGCCGTGTGTTGTACGATGTTTTTTTGTTTTTTTAAATGAAAACATCTAAGGAGGCTTACAGAGATTCAGACCGCTTTGCAAAGGGGGTAAAATATTTTTCGAAGATACTTAAGTGTTTTTTTTTTGTTGTTTTTTTTTTTTACAGAAGACCTATTCAGGCAGCATTGTTTATAAATAACGTAAAAGATTTAGGAAACCTTTGCATGAAATGGTGTTAATCAACATTTAGGTTTTTTTTCCAAAATATCATTTTTCATGACATTTTTCTTCTAATAAGAAGAATGCAGTTTTCTTGGCTGTTGAAGATTAATAGAAAACTTCTTTACAGCGCTGTGCCAGGAGGCACCATGAAATCTTTCCCCTTTTGATTTTTTAAATCTCATTTAGTTACAATCCGAGCACTCCTGGCTTGCAGAATTTCATCAGTTGGCATAGTGCTATAACATTTTTAATCCTTATCTTGTCATTCTCAGATTTAGAAACCTAAAAAAAACATCCAGGAGTTGTTTTTTTCTGGATTTGTATGTGTTTCATCACTGGAACTGTGAACTGCTTTAGACTCCAAGCTTATTTAATATTCAACAATATTTATTATATAGTGGATTCTTCTGAAACAGTGGATTATTGAGGATAAACACTGTACTGTTATAAATGGATGATGAGGGAGGGAGGTTTTAACAGCCTTCTCTGTGGAGTGACTTTTCACTAAATCAGAATGCCTATTTAGAACACTAGAACACTCCAGGCCTTCACATGCTTTGTTTTTCAGCTAGAGACTTACCAAGTTATTGTACAGTATATCTGGCCTTGACAGGGTGAAACAGTAAGGCAACCATTCAACATGATTCTAGGATAGTACTTAGACATGAATTGACAGTATTTCTTGACTCGTTTTACTTTCATACCACCATGTGAATTTTAAAGAAGCTGAATATGTTATGAGCTGAATATGTGGTGGCACAGTTGAACTCCTGCAATCCTTTAAGATAACTAGATCTATAATTGTCTGTGCCTGTAAAGGGATCATTAGAAGGTGAAGACACCTACAGGAAGGTCATTTTTATGAGCTTTTTGTCATGAAAGTCTGGAAATTAAACATCCAGCCTGAATTTCATACTCTGGCTCAAAAGACTTTGCATGTTTCTGAATTGTACAGCCATTTGTTGATTATTGTGCAAATAATGTCATGCCTGCTGTTTAGAAAGATGTGTGTGTTTTATTTTTGTATGAAGATTGAGTTATTTGAAACCTGAAAGTTTAAATGGCCACGGGATATAACATATAACTTTTTCTGCCCTAGAATTCAGGCAAAAACCAGAGAAATCCGAGAGAGGCAAGCTCGTGAGAGGGACTATGCTGAAATCCAGGATATCAACAGGACATTTGGATCTGACGAAGAGCACACATACGCTGGTATTGGCTCACTGGAATCATCAATGGACAGTGGGCACAATCTTTCCTTGCACAACAGACCACAAAGTCCCCGAGAAGACCCCCAGCAAATTGAAGCGCTATACGCACAAGTGAACAAGTCACGCAACGGCCGCGCTCCTTCCGCCGAAAGGTAAGCACAGTGTTACTGTAGTAATGCTCTTCTGGAACACAGTTTTTTTCTGAGTGGCAGAGAAAAGTGATGCGTCCATGTGTTTTCTAACCACTTCATCCAGTTCAGGATCACAGGGGAGCCAGAGTGTGTCCCGGCAAGCCACAGGCGCAAGGCAGGGTCCACACTGGAATGGACGCCAGTCCTTGCAACTTTCTCAGAAGCCAATTAACATGCCAGTACAAACTCCACACAGATAGCACCAGAGGTCCAGAATTGAACCGAGGTCCCCAGCAATGCAAGCCAGAGATGCTAACTACTGCACCCAGAAAAAAAAAAAGTTCAGTAAAATGTATATATATGAAAAATAATATCTGATAATATGGCATGTCATGTATATCCCCTTAAACATTAACATTAAAAAATGGGCGTTTTATTCCCAAAGCCCATTACAAAGCCACAAAGCTGTTACCAGACTGCACTCTGACTACATTAACATTTTCGAAACATAGCACCCTTCACAGTTAGATGATAAGTCTTTACTTGAGATGAATCAACATTAAGATTTAGAGTAAAGCTAAGTGGTTGTTATATTTAACTAATTGTAGGGGTCAGAAAAGAGGCACAACCAGTTAAAGTTGAGGGGAAGTCCTATTCTGTGACTTTAGATGTAGGAAAAAAATCATGTGAATAAGTTTGTTTATGTTGTACAATATTATTGGTTGTAAATGGTATATAGCATAATTAATTGCATGATATAAATGTTTTTAACACATAACAACTTTATTTTTCCTCTGAATATTTTTGATGATCTTTAATATGTTGATCAGGAATTCTAAACGCTTTTAGAATGTTTACATGGGTTAACAGATAATTGAAGTTTAATTTTATTGTGAAGTACCACGAAAGTGAGCTCTTTGAAAATGTAGCTTTCTCTTTCATGACCTTGCAAATAAACGTGTTGCAGTTAAGCATCTTAATTCTTTATAATTGAAGTTCAAAGTTCTATGTACATAAATGGCAGTTTTCTTCCAACAATAAATTTCAGGTCAGAAATTCTGCATTGTATTTTATCAACAAAACAATGCTTTTTGTAAGGGACACTTTTAAATCTTTTTCCTTTGTGAAACATTTTGTACTACTTCTGAAGTGTCTTGGGTTTGCAGGAGTTTGGGAATCAGATCCAGGCTATAAAAAATGTCATTTTTCAGTTTGGACAGATGCAGAGAATAACATCATTTAAGTAGCTGCTCCTTCATAACTTTTGACTGTCGGGGGGGAAAAACCTGTCACTCAAGATTTTGTTTATAAATCATACAGTGGCCAGAGAGACAGTGCATTATTAATAATTCCCTTCTTTTGTTTTTTATTTTTGTTTCAGCATAATTTCCTGTGAGTATTTTATACAGTTTCCCAATTTAATTTAAATAACTCAGGATATACAGGGCACACGAAAACAAGACTGTTTTCTTGCTTTGTAAACTATCAACAAAATAAGATTTTCAATAACTTTTTTTTTCTCACTGGAAAACAAATCTTAAAATGCTAGTGGCGTTTTCACCTGTTTTTGCAGGTGTGTTTTAAATCTATTGATGGATTAAGGAAATGCCAGTTTCAAAACCAGATGTTACCTTGGTAACATTTAACTTGAATGAGGCTAAATAAAACATAATCAAAATTCCTTCATAAACAGTAGACAACACTCTAAAACTACATAAAGAAACTGCATAAAAACCCTTTAGAGCTTGAGTCTTTAATGTTTTAAAATCTAGAAATTTCACCTGACTTCTCTCTGGGGTTCTGCTCTCAGATATGGACGCGGGTACTGTATGTCTCATTTTGATATGTTATGAATGATCATATGGCAATAATGTAATTTCCACAAATTGTTGTAAAGTGCTATATGTATTGTTATAATATGTTGTATAGTGGTTATGAAGTAGTTATATTTTCATGCCTGATTCATGTGTTAGTAATGCTCTTTTGACATACATAGGTACCCCCTTTACATGCAGATACCCCCCAAAAAGGAGCAAAAGTTCTTCTTCAGACCTGAACATTGTTTCATCCTTCTGCTTTTCAGCATAGAATTAACCTTTACTTGTTCCAAAATGCTGCTTGTGCATCCTGAGGTGCTTCAGGAAATGGGAATTGTGCATTTAAAGAAACTTTACCACGGCTTCAGTTTTTTTGTTCAGGAAGGACATCCTTAACATAATTTAACTTCGGGAAGAATGCCCAGGTATTAACAATAACATTGATTGTGGACATTAAGGACATGAATAAATTGTTTGTAGTTGTTTAGAATATTTAAGATTAATCAAACATATAGGGTCACACGCATTCACCTTCTGCTAGTGAATGTCATGTTCTGCTTTTGTCTGCCTGTGTTTGTTTCTTTTTCTGCAGTTCTTGCCTTCAGTGATACTTAAAACTTAAAACTGCCTGTAAGAAGGAAGGTAATCTTATAAATAAATATGCAAAAGTGGTAAGGCCTATATTTGACTTTAGCAGTGCTTGTCATTCAGTTATATTCCAACGCCAAATTCATTATTGCTTTCATCAACTGACATTTAGTCACCATATTTTATTTTACTTACTAAATTACTTTTTTGTGACAATTTAAATTAGTTTTTTGTTACTCTGCCAAGAAATGAGGCAGGTCTTTCATAGCTTTGCTGTAATTGCACATTGAAATGAAGTTCTTATCTGTATGAATACATAGATATGTATATGCATATAAGCACTACACTTTTTGAATCAAAATTAATTTGATAGGGCTTAAACGATCAGATAGAGGTGTGATCTGATAAAATGTACTGATGAGCTTTGTAATGTCTTCAGTTAATGAGCGAAACCCAAAACATTGATTGTGCTAATTTAGTTAATATATACAGTATATATAGTCTGTGGAGGAACACCTTGTAAGTTAACTGTTATCACATTGGAGACTTTCTAAACTGATAATAAACAATAACACTTGGTAGACCTACTTCACTTCTGTTATTTGTTCTGCAGGACATCAAGACTATTTTGGTTATTTACTGCATACGCTTTTTTTTCAAAGATGCATTAAATTCTTATACATACTGTATACGAAAGTAATCTGATTGGAAGCAGCTCTCCAATAAATTATTCTAAGTATGATAAAGATTGTTGTAGTAGTAATACATTTTGAAAATTGATTGATCCTTTTCAAAAGCTAACTCTCAGGTCAGTAAATGTAACTTTTTTAACATTTGAATTTTACTGCTTGGTTGAAGATTATTTCATATACATTATATACAAAGCATTGTATATATTTAGAATTATTAACTCTTTTTGTTTTCACTTGAATTATGTTGAGCTAGACTTCAGACCCTCTTCAGTAATTCAGTACTTGTACACTAACCTGATCTGAATAAAGATATATAGAAATGTTCCAAAATAAGCTGTTTGCCTTTTTGGACAGTACTGAGAAGGTGTTGAACCAGCAGAGCATAGTCATCACATGGGATCTTATTAATGTAGGTGTTCAGCCAACAGAAGGGGACTTTCCTGCTACACTCCTTTGTCATGTGGCACAGCCTGAGACTTGAACCTGCAGTCTCAAGGCTGATAAATTAACCCTGCACTCCAGACTTTAGTTTTGGCCTACAGTTTGTAAAGGAGTTACAGTGCTGTATTTACAACCAGGTTCAGTTATCTTTTGTTTCTATACCAATCATTCTGGATCTGTGGTTGCTACCTTGCAGTCTTTCAGGTTCCTAAAATGCAGGCTGGAGATCTTCAGAAGAGGACTTTGCTGCAGTTCCCAGAGTTTTAGGAAATTTTGCCCTGACGCTGAAGTTGAACACCAGACAGGTGTCAACACAAGATACATCACATTGTAGCTACTAAAGGCAGGAAAATACTCCAATTAATATGTTAAACTTTAAATGCTAAAAACTTAAAATCAATTAATCTGTCTTGGGCATCTAACTGTGAAACTTGTGAAACCAACTTGTGAAAATGCGTTTGAGAAATAACTAGCTTTAGTTCACTGAAAGGGTTAAAATTGCATAGAATCTTTATAAATAATTTTGTACAATGTGGTATTTCGAAGACCCTCATTACCAGCAGCACCATGCTTGACCTATATTAACATCAGGTAAATTGCCAGGTAATTTAATTACTGAATTAATTTTAGATAGGCCACTGTGATGATTAGTGTCTGTGACACCACAGGAATATAGCACAGCAGATAATGTATGTTTATAAAAAAAAACACTTCTCAGCTTTGATAAATAGATGTCCTAAATGATACATTTTGACACAGAATTTTACCTGCCTAGGTTTTAGACCGGTGAAGCCTTTGCACACAAACCTGTGATGCCAAATGGTACTACATGGAAAAAAATGCACATAATACCCTGAAGGGATACTTCAAAAACTCCTAAAATGTCACAGTGTGTGTGTGAAGGTGTATACATGGTTATGTATACATTGTGTATAGAGACACATGCACCTGTGTCTTGTATTGAGAAGAATACAAGAAAAACAGGCATAGCTTGTTTGTTGGAAAGTTTGTTTTGTACTGAAATCCTAAAATGGCGCCTTATCTGCAAAATATAGAAATGGGACAAACTGCAGTTTGTAGCTGATGTGGCTCCTATTTTTCAGAAGTTTTGAAATGGTAATTGTGACATTTTTTTTAATAAGGTACATGTTTAAAAGGTCACAGAGTGCTAAAGCATGAAAGATATTTTTGCTTGTTTCACATGAAACCTTGGGATGAAAGATTAGATAATGTAATCTGTAAATGGTCAATTGAATTTTCTTTGTAGTTTTAACTAAAAGCATTATGCACTTGGTCCTAGTCATGTCACGTGATCTTCAAAGTAAAAGATGAGGTTATTTTGAACCTTGTTTTATTTTAATTTTAATTGGAGACAAGAAAATATCTGCAATGTCAAGTAATATGAAATACACTTGAAAGATGAGGACAAACTTACTAGATATACCAAAGACTGTCCTATTACTAATACGTGCCCATGATTTCT